CTTATGACATTTGTCCCCTTAAAAATAAAGATCATCATCCAAGTGATGAATGGTCCCTAAAGAAACAGTGGGATAAAAAAAAGTTAATGATTTACAGGGCTTCTGCTTGCCTAACATCAGGTCCTCTTCAACATTGTTGTTAGATCCTTTGAATACAAGAAAACTAGGCTCTGCCACTATGTTGGATTCCCATCAACAGAAATAGGATATAATTTACTTTTTATCCTAAGCTTCCACGAGGGGTAAATTCATGTATGCTACTGTGGCCCTTCATCCCCAAATCATTTTTTTCAATGCAAGTGTATACCCCTCTGTGTGCACCACTGGGACACTTACATCAAACTCATTCAGAGCTGCAGCCAGCTCACCGATGCCTGTGTGGCCTTTGGCTTCATCGGTGGGCGAGGTAGCTTGAGCAGCATTGGAGATGCCAGCAATGGCTTCCTGGACTTGTTTAAACACATAATCTCGGTTGGCTCTGGTGGCAGCAACATCTGGGTGGCGGAGAAATGCTTGGGAGGCTGTGTACAGCATTGTGGCATTCTTCTTTAGAGCCCCTCGGGCGGCTGCCATCTCATTCCGACAGTGAGGGTCCTTCAGCTCCTGTGTGTGCAAAACATGAAACCTGTCACATCCATGAAGTTTGCCATGGAAACCTTTGTTATTGAACTCTGAGTCAGACTCACAGAACTCCACTGAATTTTGTAAACCATCTACCTTCCCTTGTCCTCTCTCTAGCTGCCAGGACTTTGTGTATGGTGTTCTTTCTGCATGAAACACTGGAGTACCCCTCTTCTACCCTACCCTTTCACTCAACATGGCCCATCTTTCTGGAACCTATTCCATCCAGCTCTCTAGACAATGTCTCCTTCTATCTGCTCCCACAAGCCCCTATCCCTTCCTATCATCAATACTTATTATACTGTACTGGAGTTACATATTTAAGCATGTGTCCCTCCTGTGTTGTATCTATTGAGAGCAGGAAACCCGATTTTGTTTAGTGGCTCTTTACTTATTAGCAAATGTTTGGCCTATAAATGGCACTCAAATATTGCTGGGGAAAATGTAAAAACCAAGATACAGACAAGTAGCCTGCATGGATAGGAGTCAGTTAAGCAGCAGAGGAAAACCCAGACTTCAGTCTTATGATATTGCTTGCCCCTATAGTCAATGACAATTACAAACATGGGAAATCAACTCTTCTGATTTTTGCTTAGTGCATATCTGCCACTTCGTTATCAGGTTCGGACTAGGGTTCATTTCATTTTTTTAAAGCTATCTTTAATGGCAGCTCAATCACTGAGTTTAGGGAATAAACATAGATCAAAGGGGATGTATCTTCCTAGTTTTGGCTGTCAAAATAATACTACTGGGGAATCTCTTGATCTTCAGCTTTAAAGAGCATTGTTAAGAAAATGTTCACATCATTTACAGAAATGTTAAAGGCAGCGCTGCTCTCTGAGGCCATGTAGGATTGCCAGCTGAGGATCTGAGAAATTTTTCCAGTTTCAAAACATCATTGAAGGTTACTTGAATCACTGGGGTTCAGTTTTTATTTGTTTATTCAGTATGTGTTATATGAATGACCTGGCAACAACTGTATCTTTTCTTTTGTGTGTCAAAACAACTCTGAGACAAGCACAATGTATTAGTTACCTAGGATTGTCAAGGCAGATTGACAAGTAATAACTGAACCATCTATCCTCTTTTGCTTATGCACTAATGAATTTAGCCTGCCAACAGGATTTCTAGTTTGAGGGCATTTCTTTTTGATCCTAAACATGAACACCAATAGGTAACCAACACGTGTGTGTACTTTCTGTGCCAGATAATTATCTAGGCATTCAAAGTAAAAAGTTTCTCCCGACTAGTCATGAAGAGTCTTTTAACCTCCAGAACTCTGGTCAAGAAATTGCATATTATATTACTGGGTACCTACACTTAAAAAAGGAAGAGATGGAAGGGGGATTCTCTCTATAAAAACATTTGAGGAAACATTCCTTAATTACATTAAAAAACCCTGCAAACAATCTAAATGTTAAATTATGAAGAATTGGTTAAGTAAATGACTGAAGCATTTATTTATTTGATAGACTCTGGATACTATAGTTTTCAATAAATGACATGAATAATATTTACAAGATAAGTGAAAAGGCAGAACATAATATGCATACTTGTATGCAAAGTATGATTATAAATATGTTAAAATATGAAGATAAATAACTAAAATGCAATATACCAAAATTGTACCACTTTTTTCTTGGGTGGTAGGGTGTTCTATGGTTTTTTTCCTTCTTCCAATTCTATCTGTTTTCTAAATTTTCTTGAAAGAGACTGAACTAGCAGTTAATTAAAAATAAGGTATTAATGAAATAAATGATACTTATGGGTATTCTCATAAATCTCATACATGTCCATGAATTTTAATACACATCTATATACACACCTGTACCTGATGTGTCCATCTCCAACCCACAACTCTCTTCTATTTGACATTTTTACATGGAGTGTTCACAGGCATCTCACAAGCCATGTATCTAAATATGAAATATTAATTTCTGTACCCAACTGACCCAGTCTTTCCCATCTCTGTAAATTTACCAACATTTACTCATGTGCTGAAACCAGAATCTTAGAACTGAACTGGTTGCTGTCACTTCCTAACATGTCCAATTTAACATCAGGTCCTCAGAGTTCTATTTTCAAATTAAACTTGGATTCTTTGCAGTTTCCTCCATTTCCACCACTACAAACCAATCAAGACCACCATCTCTCACCTAGTCTACTTCAGCCCCCCCAACTATAGCTGGTCTCTCCTCTTCCATTCTCTTCTGCACAACATATCTAGAATCCTAAAATACTTATTTGAGACACGGATATCAAACTTTGAACTATTCAAATACTACCCACCCACTTACAATAAAATCCAAAACTTCTGCAAGACTCCCAATGTCCTGGCCCCTACTTTTCTTCCCAACTGCCCGAGTGGTTCACTAAGATCAAGATTCAATGGCTTTTTTCTCAGTTGTTTAAATTAGCTAAGTAGCTTTCTTGGTCTCACATTTGTGTTTCAGAGTAACTTCACTCCTACCCATCTTACATTTTGGACTATCACACAAGAGCTCATTTGAGTTTTGCTGATTACAAAATACTTAAATCATCAAGTAATCTCAAATCACATGCATTCCTCTCTCACACAAAGAATACTGTAAGCATGTTAGGGGAAGAAACTAGATCTTGGTCCAGTTTGTAATACCAACGTTCCTTCAACCTGGCACAGAACATTCGACAAATGTTTGTTGAATAAAACTTGGTCACAGACCATCTTAAATCACTAGGAATTGCCCTACGTGTTGAAGAATTCTAGGAACAGTCAAGAGGACGGGTAAAGGATTTTTAACTGACCCTTTCACATTTGGAGATGTTTTTCCTAGGGGAAAAAAATAAAACCAAATTGCTTGAGGATAAAATCCTAATGGTACTTGACAAACAACTAGAATAGACTAAATTGAGAGTGCTAGCTCTAGACAAAAGGAAGACAGAAGACACTATGTCAGTCACCTTCATCAGAGTAACTCACACTTAACCTGTGTTATCCCACACCCCCACACATTTATTTTCTTCTCTGCCTTTACCTGATTTCCTTTGCATAGTCCTCTTGCCTTTCATAAAAGGGTCACTCAACATGCTGCACATTTGGGCTATGCATATGCATGATGGGGTCTATAGGGCTAGGAAACAAAAAGTGAGGGCAAAGGGTGGTGCTCAGAAAGCATCTGCACTACATGAAACCACTCTCCCCTCCTTTCTTTTTTCTTTTTTTTCTTTTTTTTTTTTTTTTTTTTTTTTTTTTTTTTTTTTTTTTTTTGATTGAGGAGCTTTTCTTGCAGTGGAAAAAAGGTTACAGTGGTTCCCACCAGTCACACAGGAGGCCTGTGACCTACCCTAGGTAGGCAGGGGGCAGAGAGTACCCCAGGGCCTACAATGCTATGAAAACTGGCCCATGTAATAAGCAACCTTTGTTGATCACAGGTTCTGAGGACATTTGCTAATTTGATAACCAGAAGATAAGGCTGATCTGTTGTTTAAGCCTACCAAGCTAGGAGGTTACTTAAACACACATTTTCTCCCCCAGCATTTCCTGAATTGTCCCCACCTGTTGTCTTCTTGCTGGTACATAGAGTTTCACCATTTCTTTGCCAAATTGTTTAAAGTGATGTGCAAGGTCTTGTTCATTTGTAGAATTTTTGACAGCTTCCAAGGCCTCTTCCACCTGAGGTAATAAGGAACATTTATCAATGGATAGAATTTAAATATTAAACATGTTAGAAATGGTCATTTGTAAAAAATTATGCCTAGGGATTCACATTTAAATAAAATAGAAGTACCACTAATAAGTACTTATAATCAGAATATTTCTTCACAACACACAGATTTTGTACCTAAAAAGATAATGCCTGAACTCTTGAAGCATTAGAACTGTATCAATTGTCGTTTATTGGGTTAGGATTCTGATGATGAATACAGACTTTCACATAGACACATACAAGAAAATCGATCAAAGAAAAAATCATGGAATTTGAAAACAAATTCTAGAAATCTTCAGGAGGAAGTGCTTCAACGAAAACTGAAGGAATTCCCTGAAGCATGAGTGCGCTTGAATCTGCAACCACAGTTCTTGGCAACACCTGTGCAGCCAGAGCTGAATGGCCTGTAACTGTGAACTGAGTTCACACCCTGCCACCCACTGGAAAGAGGAGTTGTTCCCTGTGGAGAAGCAAGTGAATCTGAAGCTTCGTTGTCACTGAAGGTGGTGTCAGCTGGGGTAGAATGCAGGTGAGCAGAATGAGAGCAGGCATGCCTCCCTAATGATGTGCCCTGCTTCCAATTCTTGCCAACTGGATCATGCAACTTTTGCAGAGAGGTCTTAGACTTGAATTAGGGATTTCACTAAGAACTCCTTTACAGATGATTTGAGGATTTGGTGGGTGCCTGGGTGGCCCTGACTTCGGCTCAGGTCATGATCTCACTGTTAGTGGGTTCAAGCCCTGCGTCGGCTCTATGCTGAGAGCTCAGAGCCTGGAGCCTGCTTCAGATTCTGTGTCTCCCTCTCTGCCCCTCCTCCAGTCACATTAGGTCTCTCTCAAAAATAAAATAAAAAACATTAAAAGAAATAAAATAAATGGCTTGAGGATTTGGGTGGTCTTTTCTCCAGAAGGACTTTAATGTTTTTATTTATTTTTGAGAGAGCACACACATGTGGGAGAGTGGAGAGAGGGAGACAGAGGATCTGAAGCAGGCTCTGCACTGACAAGAGAGCCTGATGTGAGTCTCAAACTCATGAACCAGGAGATCATGACCCAGCAGAAGCTGGCGCTTCACCAACTGAGCCACCCAGGTGCCCCCTCCAGAGTGACTTTACTACCGTGTGAAGATTTCCACAATTGGTAACGTTAAACACCTGGGGTCTCAATTTAAATTAAAACTAAAATTGAGATAAGAAGTAATCCATGACATCATCATCAATCAACTTGCTATTTTGTCAGTGGAAATAACCAAGAACAAAATTCTGAGTAAGGCACAAGACAGGTATGTGTTTGCTAAATCAAAAGTTCTATACAAAAAGGGACCCTAGTAGACAGACCTCTGCTAATGCGGTCTTCTAATAGAAGCAACAGAAAAAGAGCAGGCAGCTCAGTCATGTGAAGTGAAGAAAATACAGGACCTACTGAAGAATTCTGATTAGCT